CTAGACGTTTAGCCAAAGAACTAGATCCCGAACTAATGGCTTATGTAGAGTTGCAGCAAAAAACACGCCTTAAGAGTGAAGGCAATGTCGAACAATTGGCCGATATAGGTAAGTTTGAATAGGTTTACAATGGAATACCTTGCTTATAATGTCAATTTGCAGATATTGTTAGCGCCTTGGATATGCTGGCTGAGCAAGGTCAGTGGCAGCGTTGTTTGGATAAGGCCAAACAAATAAGTTCTCCAATTTTGCAAAAATATGTTGCTCTGTATGCTGCCCAATTGATACGAGATGGTGATTGCATTTCTGCTCTGGAATTGTACATCAATTATGGTGCTCCTCCTATTGAGGCGAATTTTAATATTTATACTCGCATTGCTTTGGATTTCTTTGCTTTGCGAGAGGAACAATTGATGGATGGTTTATGGAGGAAACTGAGAGATTTTATTTATAAATTATTACAGGTGAGAGATGATCGCATAATAACTCTATAGAAAACTTGATGAGCATTGAGTTGTAACATGAAATTTCAAATATCTCTCTTCTCCTTTTTAGACACTTAAATCCTCGGACTTTTCACAAGCACCCATAACCGATAATATGGAACTGTATCTATTAATTGCTCACTATTACTGTACCAGAAGTGCTTGTCGTCAGGTACAATCGCTACAGCCCATAGCTGTTAGACTATCTATAGCACTTTTACGTTATACCGATATCATACCAGTTGATAAAGGCTTTTACGAAGCTGGCATTGATCTACGTAATGCGGGACGGGAAGCTGAAGCCTTTGTAATGCTCAATCATTATCTAGATGTATGTGAAGCTATTGAGGAGGGTTCGGGTAATTTAGTTGATCATAGTGATTTAACTTCAACAGATTTTCCCAGTTCAGTACCTCTGCCCGAGGAAATACACTTGAAAAATGATCCTGACCTACATGAAGAAGTTAGAGAATGGGTGTTAGCTGTTAGTATGGATCAGCAAGTTGATCAGGTGAGAAATTCTTTACTTAATATTCAAGCAAGTTTTAATATAAAATTTTTCAGGTTTTACCCACTGATGAGCGTGGCTTATATGAATCCAGTTTAGGTTTAAATGATGTGGCCTGCATTTTAAGTGCCTATCCAGTTAAGGGTCGCCAACCGGTAACATTTCAATCATCAATACGTCAAGCTAATCGTGATGTTTGGAGTAAATTTTCGGTGGCAGTTAAATTATCGCCTAGCAGTGAAGTCGGTGATATTATACAATTTACCGAAAAGTGGAATGGTTTGGCAAATTTTGTAATGCATTGAAATGTTTTTAAATATTTAATGAATATAAATGTAATGAAAAACATTAATAATATGTTAAAGTTATCATGCGAAGAATAAAGATATAAAAAAATGGTTTGTTCGACTACAATAAACTCTAAATTTTCTTCAACATTTAAAAGTTTAATATAGAATCGGAATTTTTGATATTTTTGTTTCACAATGAGAAAAAATCGCTATTAAGATATACTCCGGTCAATAGTATAGTCTAGTATATATATTTGACAATATAGTATATAGTCTAGGCTATAGACTCGGCAATAGTCTAATGTATAGACTACTTTCTAATCTGGACTACAGTCTAGTCTATATTCGTGACTATAATTTATTCTATAGTCTTAATAATAACCTAGTCAGTAGTCTTGATTATAGTTTACTCTATAGTCAAGACTCTAGATAGTAGTATACTTTATAGTCTTGACTAAGGTCTAAAGTTTTAGACAAAGATTTGTCTATAGTTCGTATATAGTCTAGTCCATAGTCTATTCCATAGTTTTGGTTACATCTAGTCAATAGTTCTGGCTATATTGTAGACTATACTTTAGTCTTGATTATAGTTTAGTCAATAGTCTTGACTGTAGTTTGGTCTGTAGTCTTGACTGTAGTTTAATCTATAGTCTAGTCTTGACTACGCCCTAGTCTAGTCTTAATTATAGTCCAGTCTGTAGACTTGTCTATAGTTTTGACTATAGGCTAGTCTATAGTATTAACTACAGTCTAGTCTCTAGTCTTTACTATTATCTAGTCTACAGTCTTAATTATAGTCTAGTCTATAGTCTTAACTATAATCTAGTCTATAGTCTTGACTATAGTGTAGAGTATAGCCTTGTCCACAGTTTTTACTATAGTCTTGCCTATAATTTTGCCTACAGTCTAGTCCATCTTGGCTATTCATAGTCTAGTTTATAGTTTTGGCTAGTGTAGTTTATAGTTCTGGCTATAGTCTTAACTATATTGTAGACTATAGTTTAGTCTATAGTCTTGACTGTAGTTTACTCTATATTCTTGACTACTGTCGAGTGTTTACTAAAGTCTAGCCTATAGTCTTTACTATAGTTTACTCTATATTCTAGTCTTGACTACGCTCTAGTCTAGTCTTGATTAAAGTGTAGTGACTAGACTATAATCAAGACTTGACAAGTTTATAGACTAGACTATATTCTATAGTTTTGACTACAGCCTACTCTATTGTCTTGACCTACTCTATTGTCTTTATCTATAGTCTTGACTACAGTCTAGTCTATAGTCTTGACTATAGTTTACACTATAGTCTTGACTTTAGTTTACACTATAGTCTTGACTTTAGTTTACACTATAGTCTATATAATAGTCTGGATTATAGTTTACTATATAGTCTAAAGTTTTAGCTAAAGTCTTGCCTATAACTTTGCCTACAGTCTAGTCCATCTTGGCTATACATAGTCTAGTTTATAGTTTTGGCTAGTATAGTTTATAGTTCTGGCTATAGTCTTAACTACATTGTAGACTACAGTTTAGTCTATAGTCTTGACTGTAGTTTAGCCTATATTCTTGACTACGGTCGAGTCTTTACTATAGTTTACTCTATATTCTAGTCTTGCTACGACTTGTCTAGTGTTGATTAAAGTGTAGTGACTAGACTATAATCAAGACTTGACAAGTCTATAGACTAGACTCTCTTATATAGATTTGTCTATAGTTTTAACTACAGCCTACTCTATAGTCTTGACTACAGCCTAGTCTATAGTCTTTATTATAATCTAGTATACAGTCTTGACTATAGTGTAGAGTATAGCCTTGTCTAAAGTCTTTACTATATCTTTGACTATAGTCTTGACTACAGTCTAGTCTATATATAGTCTATATAGTCAATTACACTATAGTCTTTATAATAGTCTGGATTATAGTTTACTGTATAATTTAAAGTTTTAGCTAAAGTCTTGCCTACAGTCTAGTCCATCTTTTCTATACATAGTATAGTTTTGTAGTTTTGGCTAGTGTAGTTTATAGTTCTGGCTATAGTCTTAACTATATTGTAGACTAGTTTAGTCTATAGTCATGACTGTAGTTTACTCTATATTCTTGACTACTGTCGAGTCTTTACTAAAGTCTAGCCTATAGTCTTTACTATAGTTTTCTCTATATTCTAGTCTTGACTACGCTCTAGTCTAGTGTTGATCAAAGTGTAGTGACTAGACTCTAATCAAGACTTGACAAGTCTATAGACTAGACTCTATTATATAGATTTGTCTATAGTTTTGACTACATCCTACTCTATAGTCTTGACTACAGCCTAGTCTATAGTCTTTATTATAATCTAATCTTGGCTACGCCCTAGTCTAGTCTTGGTTATAGTCCAGTCTATACTTGTCTATAGTTTTGACTATAGCCTAGTCTATAGTATTAACTACAGTCTAGTCTCTAGTCTTTACTATTATCTAGCCTACAGTCTTAATTATAGTCTTAACTATAATCTAGTCTATAGTCTTGACTATAGTGTAGAGTATAGCCTTGTCCACAGTTTTTACTAGAGTCTTGCCTATAATTTTGCCTACAGTCTAGTCCATCTTGGCTATTCATAGTCTAGTTTATAGTTTTGGCTAGTGTAGTTTATAGTTCTGGCTATAGTCTTAACTATATTGTAGACTATAGTTTAGTCTATAGTCTTGACTGTAGTTTACTCTATATTCTTGACTACTGTCGAGTGTTTACTAAAGTCTAGCCTATAGTCTTTACTATAGTTTACTCTATATTCTAATCTTGACTACGCTCTAGTCTAGTCTTGATTAAAGTGTAGTGACTAGACTATAATCAAGACTTGACAAGTTTATAGACTAGACTATATTTTATAGTTTTGACTACAGCCTACTCTATTGTCTTGACTATAGTCTTGAATATAGTGTAGTCTAGTCTACAGTCTGGACTATAGTCTTTAATATAGTCTAGTCTATAGTCTTGACTATAGTTTAATTTATCGTCTTTATAATAATGTAGTCTATAGTCTTGATTATAGTTTTCGCTATAGTTTAGATAATAGTTTAATATATAGTCTAAATTATTGCCTATAACTTTGGCTATAATCTAGTCCATCTTGACTATAGTTTAGCCTATTGTATTGGCTAGTGTAGTTTACAGTTCTGACTATAGTGTTAACTATAGTGTAGACCATACTTTAGTCTATAGTCTTGTCAGTAATTTAGTCTATATTCTTGACTACGGTCTAGTCTCGACTTAAGTCTAGCCTATAGTCTTGACTAAAGTTTACTCTATAGTCCAGTTAATAAGTCTTGTCTATAGTTTTGACTAATCTTAACTATAGTATAATCTATTATTCTGACTAGAATCCTCTACTAGAACTCCCAAAAAAAATTATCGAATTATTATATTTGATATTTTTTCACAATTTTTATTTTTTTTTATATTAAAATTCAAAAAACAAAAACGTTATAGTCGTAAACATATCCCTTATATTTAAATTAAAACTTTGAAAACATCTTAAATTTTTTTTAACTAAAATCCAGTATTATTTTTAAAATATTGCAAGAAAAAATTTAAAGTGAAATAAAATTTTTAAGTGCCTAATATATAGAACACACACAAATATTAAATATAATTTTTTTATTAAATATGAAAGACAACATAACTTCGAAAGTTTGCTCCTTTTCACTGAAAGCTAATTTTGTGATAAAATAAAATTACAATTAATTGTAATGACCTTTTAAACAACTTGCTTTTTTATTTTATTTCCACATACATAAAACAGTCTAAATGAATGGTTATATTTATTGGAAAATCAATTACTAATATATTTCTAAAAAAAATACAAAAAAAATACATTAATTTGTAAATAATTTTGTTTACAAACTTGTGTGAGAGAAAAGTGTAAAAACATAATTGTGATAAATGTGTAGAACTGTTCAGACATTAAAAATTCATATATAATTGTATATAATTATTGTTTATATATATATGGTTTATATATAATTAAACGAACTGTTTAGTTTGTCCAAAAACAAATAAGAACTTAAATGTAAATAATTATTATTTGTATGATAATTTTTGTATATATCATTCCTTTTTTGTATCATTAAAATGTGTATTTAATTTTTTCAACAATTCATAGAATTCGTAAAAAATTTTATATATTTATTTTATTAACTTGTTATTGTATATTCAATGTATATTGAATAAATCACCAGCCGAAGGTAAGGGGGCTAGGCCACCAGTAACATCGGGTAATTGTGTTAAATCAGGTAGATTAGAAAGATGATCACGTATTTCCTTTTGTACGGCCAATACTTTTTGGAGTTTCTTTTTGTATTCCTATAGGAGAAAAACAACATTTATATTATGATGAGTTTTAAACAAATTTAATAGCAAGTTTATAAGTATTACCTCCAAACGCTTTTCAGCTTGAGCCAATAATTCCTTTTGTTCAGCCTGAAAGTCTCTCAACATTGATGTCAATTTAGTACGTTCTTCCATTTCAGCAGATAAACGTGAATTGTAGTCATTTAAAAGTTCAACTGCTTCATTGACCTGGAAAAGAAGATAGATGTTTAATGACAAACATAAATAAAAATATGAATTTTTGTGAAAAAATCTAAAAACTAAGACTAAGGTGTCGCTATTGTCACGACCATAGGCTAGCATACAGTCTATACAACAGACTATTGACTATGTTATAGACCAAACTATAGACTAGATAGCCATTAGTCTAGTCTATATTCTATTCTATAGTCTAGTCTAATCTATAATCAGTCTTGTCTTTAGTGTAGTCTATACTCTAGTCTACTCTAGTGTAGTCTATAGAATAGTCTATAACCTAGTCTATAGTTCAGTCCAGATTATAGACATGTCATTTTTTTACGGTTTTAATTTCCAACTCACCTGTGTTGCCAAATTTTTCGCAGCATCCTTATCCTCCAACTTAGCTAAACAACTTATTTCTGAAATTTCTGGTGGTAGATTTGCAATACGTTCCCTTACAACAGCATCACTTGATGCTGAATTTTCTATACTTATTAAAGCTTTAATTAACTCTTCCGGCTCTGGAGGTTCACCCAATGGCAAGTAGGGACTTTGATCGCCATCGCCACCATTCAACTCGGCGACAACTGACGATGAGTTAGTTTCTTCCGTAGGAGAAACTCGTGACTTTTTCGATTTTGACTTATGCTCCTCATGTTTACGTTTGGATTCACGTTTTTCCTCACCGGAATCTTTGCTAGCTGAGGTGGCCGCCGTGACTGCTGTTAATTTGCCATGCTCTTTATTTAAACGATTACGATACTCGGCTATAGTTTTGGGTTCATAAACACCACGTTCTTCCCATATATTGAGTATACGTCCCAAACTACCAAAAAGTTTTTCCGACTTACATGTCTCGCCTATGTGAGAGAATGCCTTGGGCAAACCATTTGCAAATTCTTTGCCATATTCGGGTCCTTTCTTCTTGCTATTTTGTATAACATCATTGGCCAAATACATAAAGGTTAACTTTTTGGCTTCCGGCACTGAGGCAGAAAAAAACAACAATAATAATTAAAAATAAAAATCAATATCTTGTAACAATTTCGCTTACTAACCATTTTGCAATTCCCTTAACCAGGTTTTCACAATGCTAGCATGATGTTTACGATGATGTATCAACCACAAGGATAGTGTTTGTATACTTTGTTGACTAGAATTCAATTCAGCCAATTTTTTCAAAAAAGCCACTTCAGTAAAAGCCGACATTGTTTTTTTGCTATTAATTTATGTTCGTTTTAAAAAACTTTTGGCCTTTAAAAAGGCTGTTGGTTTAAGTTTTGGAAAATTGTTTATTTTGCCCCGAATTTATTAGACCTTTTAAGATTTTTTTTATTTTTTCACACTTTTAATGTTTTTCTGGAAAAAAAAAATTACGAACATTTGGCACAGAGCCCTGCGCCGACAAATATTAACGTGACGGCGACTGACACTAAATATGTCGGCGGCGGCTTAAAATCGACTGTAAGCCGGCTAAGTTTTCAACTACGTTTAGTTTTTAAATTTTCAACGATTTTAAATAAAAACGGAATCCGAGAGATCAGGAAGTGGGATTTTGGAAGCAAATATATTGTTTATAACAACAAAACAGAGCAAGCTCAAAATTTGTGTGAGAAATTATGCAGGGATGAATAAAAAATTCTTTAAAATTAAAAACAAATCCTTTTTCCAAGTTTTACGAGGATCTATCGATATTTAAATCTATCCTCCATATAAAACATCTGGCAGAAAATCAGTTTCTAAAAAATTTTGCATTAAGAAAATGATCAATAACGTAAAAACAAAGATATTTTATTTGTTTATTTACTAGCTATACTCAGTGTGCTGTGCTACCCTAAAACTTTTAGGCTAAAAGCAATATAAATAAGAAACCCACTTAACGATTTTGATGATTCTAACTATAATGGTTTTCCAGATATACAATTTGTTACATATGGGAGATTCCACGCAAATTATTGCAATTTCGCCAATTATTCCGAACGTTAATTAATTATTCCGAACGAAAAAGTACCAAGAAGTCCCCTTTTAAATGTTATCATTATCATGTTTCTAGGTTCAATACTATAAAAAATTCAAAACGTACCAGTCAAAGAACGAAAAAGTACTAAAAAGTCCCTTTTTATAGATTATAATTTACTCCGAGCTCTACATATTTGTTTTTATGTTTCTAGGTTTAATTTTATGGAAAACTCAAAAAGTACCAGTCAAAGTACGATATAGTTCCTCTTTTATAGATTCTCATTTACTCCAGGCTCTAAGTGCTTAATTTCATGTTTCGAGGTTCAAATTTTGTAGCAAGCTCAAAAAGTACCAGTCAAACAACGAAAAAGTACCAAAAAGTGCCATTTTATAGATTCTCATTTACTCCGGGCTCTACGTGCATAATTTCATGTTTCTATGTTCAATTTAATAGAAAACCCAAAAAGTACCTTTTGAAGAACTAAAAAGTACCAAAAAGTCCCCTTTTATAGGACCTCACTTAATCCGGGCTCTACATGCTTAATTTCACGTTTCTAGGTTCATTACGGGGCTCTACATGCTTTCATGTTTCTAGGTTTAATATTATAGAAAATTCAAAAAGTTCCTTTTGAAGAACGAAAAAGTACCAAGAAGTCCAGATTCTCAAGTGCTTAATTACATGTTTCTAAGTTTCTAAGTCAAAAAAGTACCAGTCGAAGTACGATAAAGTACCAAAGTAAAGTATTAGACTATAGACTAGATTATAGACTTGACTAAAGACTAGACTATAGACTAGACTATAAAATAGACTATAGACTGGACTATAGACTAGACTATAGACCAAACTATAGACTAGACTAAAAGCTAGACTAGACAATAGACTAGATAATAGAATAAACTATAGACTAGACTATAAACTAGACTAGACTACAGACTGGACTACAGACTAGACTATAGACTAGACTATATACTAGACTATAGACTAGACTATAGACTAGACTATAGACTAGACTATAGACTAGACTATAGACTAGACTATAGACTATAGACTAGACTATAGACTAGACTATAGACTAGACTATAGACTAGACTATAGACTAGACTATAGACTAGACTATAGACTAGACTATAGACTAGACTATAGACTAGACTATAGACTAGACTATAGACTAGACTATAGACTAGACTATAGACTAGACTATAGACTAGACTATAGACTAGACTATAGACTAGACTATAGACTAGACTATAGACTAGACTATAGACTAGACTATAGACTAGACTATAGACTAGACTATAGACTAGACTATAGACTAGACTATAGACTAGACTATAGACTAGACTATAGACTAGACTATAGACTAGACTATAGACTAGACTATAGACTAGACTATAGACTAGACTATAGACTAGACTATAGACTAGACTATAGACTAGACTATAGACTAGACTATAGACTAGACTATAGACTAGACTATAGACTAGACTATAGACTAGACTATAGACTAGACTATAGACTAGACTATAGACTAGACTATAGACTAGACTATAGACTAGACTATAGACTAGACTATAGACTAGACTAGACTATAGACTAGACTATAGACTAGACTATAGACTAGACTATAGACTAGACTATAGACTAGACTATAGACTAGACTATAGACTAGACTATAGACTAGACTATAGACTAGACTATAGACTAGACTATAGACTAGACTATAGACTAGACTATAGACTAGACTATAGACTAGACTATAGACTAGACTATAGACTAGACTATAGACTAGACTATAGACTAGACTATAGACTAGACTATAGACTAGACTATAGACTAGACTATAGACTAGACTAGACTAGACTAGACTAGACTATAGACTAGACTATAGACTAGACTATAGACTAGACTATAGACTAGACTATAGACTAGACTATAGACTAGACTATAGACTAGACTATAGACTAGACTATAGACTAGACTATAGACTAGACTATAGACTAGACTATAGACTAGACTATAGACTAGACTATAGACTAGACTATAGACTAGACTATAGACTAGACTATAGACTAGACTATAGACTAGACTATAGACTAGACTATAGACTAGACTATAGACTAGACTATAGACTAGACTATAGACTAGACTATAGACTAGACTATAGACTAGACTATAGACTAGACTATAGACTAGACTAGAGACTAGACTATAGACTAGACTATAGACTAGACTAGACTACTAGACTAGACTATAGACTAGACTATAGACTAGACTATAGACTAGACTATAGACTAGACTATAGACTAGACTATAGACTAGACTATAGACTAGACTAGACTAGACTAGACTATAGCCCAGACTATAGACTAGACTATGGACTAGACTATAGACCAGACTATAGACTAGACTATAGACCAGACTATAGACTAGACTATAGACTAGACTATAGACTAGACTATTGACCAGAATATAGACTAGACTGCTAGGTAAATACTCAATACTCTCAAATGAAAATCCGAGCAAAATAGGTATTAAAACGAAATAACGACAACAAACTTAGTTTACCACCGATTGATAAGAATTTTTAAATTTCATAAAGAAATATCTAAAAGAGACCAATAGTTAGACCAACGATGTTTTTCACCTGTATATCGACAGTTAGTCGAGTACGAACTCTCATTAACAACGGTACAATTTCGATAAATAACGGGCGATAGGAAGTGATACGTTAGTTAGAAAAACAAGAAAACGTAAAGATAACTGAAATTAAAAAATATAAAATATTTAACAAAAATCATACAAACAAACGTGTATATATTGTGTAGTATAAATATTTCATATTGTCCTTATCAGTTTCAATAAATTGATGAGTAATTAAAGTCGTCAATTATGAATGTTAAAATAACGATATTAAATCTTTCAATAATCATATTTGTGTAATTTTATATTTGAATACAAAAAGAAAAAACAAAATACCAATTAACAAAATTAATCCCTTAAATGTTTTAAGGGTAATAAAATAATAAACAAATATATGTACATATTTACAAGTTGTGTTAATTTTATCAGAAATTGTTATAGTAAATTGCTATAGTTTGTTCAACCATGTAGGGAAAGTGACACCTGTCAATTATATTCATTAATATCTTGACTTTTTAAATACTGGCATTTGTTTAATAAAAACAATTAATATGTTTTTAATACTTAATTAAAAGTTTAAAAGATAAAAAAGCTTTTGCAAAAGTGTTTGTTATATTAATTAAAATATTATTATATAATTACTAAATATTAAATAAAATTAATAAGTGACAACAACACTTTAATAATTGGGTTTAAAATTGAAATTTATACTTTTGTGTTTTAATAATTATTTAGTTTTTTTTTTATCAGTTTCACACAATTAAAAAGAAAATTATTAACAAAAAAAAGTAAAACAATCAATTTGATTATTGACTATTGTCGCATTTGAAAATAATCTTATATATATTTTTTTAATAAAAAAGAAAATATTTCAAACTCTCCAAATGATTACAAACAAAGTGTTTTTGTTTTAAGAACAGCAACAACAACAACAAAACTTATTTATCAATAACAACATTTTAAACATGCTCTTTATCGGCATAAATGATAATAAAATCAAAATTTATATTCTTTTATTTTTGTTTAAAATTTAGTTAAGTGAAAAAATTTAAGAAAATAAATAACATAATATAAAGATAATAAGTAGAACCAGCAACATATATTTTTATGTCTATGGTTGTCTGAAATAATGGTTTCTTGAAGTGTATTTAAAGCTGATAATTTTGATTCGTGAAATTGTGGTTACGATAAATACATAATAAAATGTCTGTGAAATTCGATAAAAAATAATAAAAATTGTAGTGATTTTAAATTATTGGAAAATATCTGAAACCGTTGGCGTTCTGCTCCAAAAACTAAACGATCCACATACATACATATGTACATATCTAAGGGATACAACTTTTATTAAGCCCTTGGCCTCAAATTTTCAAAATACTCAAGAGTTTTTAATTTTTTTATAAAATGCGTATCATTCAGACTGAACTATATATTAGACTAAATCCACACTATAGTCTAGACTGTATATCATAGAATAGAGTGGTCTTTAGACCCTACTATTGATTAGACTGTAGTTCATGCTTTAGATAATATCTTTTTCAAACTTATAGAATATATTGAAGAACTAGACTATTTGCTACAGTCTCAGTGTAGTCTGTATTCTAGATAGTATTCCGGACTATAAACTGGAAAATAGTCCAGACTACATTTTACACTCTAGTCAAGACTAAATTACTCAATAGTTCAGACAAAACAATAGATTAGACAATACTTCAGATTATGGACTATAGTCGAGATATATACTTGGCTAACTATAGCTTAGACTATAGTCTATTCAAACTATTGAATAGAAGACTATAGTTCTGACTTTAAACTGTATTATAATCCAGACTGTAAACTTGACTTTAGTTCAAACAATGTAATATACTACATATAGACTCTAGACAGAACTGTGGGCTATTTTTTCCACTGTAGACTACATTACAGTTAAGATTATAGATTTTAATGTATAATATAGTTCAGACTATAGACTAGACTGTATACATCTATAGTTCAAACTATTGAATAGACTATAGTTCTGACTTTAAACTGTATTCTAATCCAGACTATAAACATGACTTTAGTTCAGACAATAGAATAGACTACAGAGAGACTCTAGACAGAACTAAAGTTCTGATTACAGACAATATGTCCAACTATATAATGGGCTATTTTTTTCCACTGTAGACTATATTATAGATAACTCTATACAATAGACTGTAGAATATACTTTAGACTATGGACTAGACTATAGTTTAGAATATATATAGTTAAAACTATGAAATAGACTTTAGTCCCGACTTTAAAATTTACTATAACTCAGACTATAAACTACATATTAGATCAGACTATATTATCTGACTAGACTATAGATTAGACAATAGATCCAACTATCGAATAGGCAATATTTCCGACTATAGACTATAATATAGTCCAGGCTGTGGTCCAGACTACAGACCAAATTATAACCCCTTTCCCCCAGATGACAGGCTAAATAATAGTTATAGTACAGACGATATACTATACTATAATCCAGACTATGGAATATTCCAAAGTCGAGACCAGAACATATCATAGTCCAAATTATAGATTAAACTACTATATAATCGTAAGCTATATTATACTAATCTATAGTTTGAACTGTAAAATGGATTACATTCCTGGTTATATACTATGAACTAGACTATATTACGGCCTATAGACCAAACTAAATTTGAAACTATAGGCTAGATTATAGTCCAGTCTATAAACTAGACTATAGTCCAGACTATAAGCTAGACTATAGTCCAGACTATTAACTAGACTATAGTCCAGACTATAAATTAGACTATGCCCAGACTATAGATTAGACTATAGTCCAGACTATAGATTAGACTATAGTCCAGACAATAGACTAGACTATAGACTAGACTATAGACTAGACTATAGTCCAGACTATAGACTAGACTATAGTCTAGACTATAGACTAGACTATAGTCCAGACTATAGTCTAGATTGTAGACTAGACTATAGTCCAGACTATAGACTAGACTATGGTCCAAACTATAGACTAGGCTATAGTCCAGACCATAGACTAGACTATAGAGTAGACTATAAGTAGTCCAGACTATAGACTAGACTATAGTCCAGACTATAGACTAGACTATAGTCCAGACTATAGACTAGACTATAGTCCAGATTAAGACTAGACTATAGTCCAGACTATACTAATCTATAGTTTGAACCGTAAAATGGATTACATTCCTGGTTATAAACTATGAACTAGACTATATTACGGACTATAGACCAAACTAAATTTGAAACTATAGGCTAGATTATAGTCCAGTCTATAAACTAGACTATAGTCCAGACTATAAGCTAGACTATAGTCCAGACTATTGACTAGACTATAGTCCAGACTATTGACTAGACTATAGTCCAGACTATTGACTAGACTATAGTCTAGATTAAGACTAGACTATAGTCCAGACTATTGACTAGACTATAGTCTAGATTAAGACTAGTCCAGACTATACTAGACTATAGTCCAGACTATATACTAGACTATAGTCCAGACTATATACTAGACTATAGTCCAGACTATAGACTAGACTATAGTCCAGACTATATACTAGACTATAGTCCAGACTATAGACTAGACTATAGTCCAGACTATAGACTAGACTATAGTCCAGACTATAGACTAGACTATAGTCCAGACTATAGACTAGACTATAGTCCAGACTATAGACTAGACTATAGTCCAGACTATAGACTAGACTATAGTCCAGACTATAGACTAGACTATAGTCCAGACTATAGACTAGACTATAGTCCAGACTATATACCAGACTATAGTCCAGACTATATACTAGACTATAGTCTATACTATAGACTAGACTATTGTCCTGACTATATACTAGACTATAGTCCAGACTATAGACTAGACTATAGTCCAGACTATATACTAGACTACAGTCTAGACTATAGACTAGACTATTGTCCTGAATATAGACTAGACTAATGTCCTGACTATAGACTAGACTAAAGTTCTGACTAAAGACTAACCTACAATTCGGACTATTTAGTTCAGATTGTATTACCTATAGTTAAGAAGTCCTAACTACAGAACAGATCTGTAAAAACTCGCAAAAACAATTTACACCAATTAAACAAATTAAAGACGACACGTTTCACTTGTAAACAATTGTAATAATTTTATTATAAATAAATAAAAATTTTATAATATAAAAATAGATAATAATTAAACGACATTTTAACGTAATTAATTGCTACTTTGTTTATTTAAATAAAAAAAACGTTGTTAAAATTAAAATTAATTTATTGATACATGTGTAGATGCATGTTTAAATAATGTTATATTTATTAAAATTTTATAGATAAAGTTTTTAAATTTTTGTAATTGAACAAGTTATATGTATGTTTGTATTTTTGTATATTTTTAGTGTAATTAAATAAAAATGTTTAACATTTGATATAAAACAAAAACTTTTCCATTTTTTGCAATAAAAAATAAAAAAAAAATATATATTGATTGATTGCAACAAAAATGAATTCATTTTTGGAAGACTCTACGGAACGTATTAGTCGTTTAAGCAACGAAAGTCGTCATGATACGCTGATCAATGAAAAGAAATGGGAATGGGGTTTTCTAAGGGTGAGTAATACTTAATTTTTAATTGTTTGTTATTATACTTTTATAAATTTATAAAACCTTTATTATTTATTTTGTATAGAAGAAATTAAAAATGTATTGATAAATATTACTAACTTTATAGAATTTACTGTGAAAAAATAATAAATCAAACAAATTATTTATTATTTAAATTGTTATAACTAAATATGGTCATACGCTTTTTAGGGTGGGTTTATTTTAAATAGAAGTTTTCATTTTGAGAAATTCGAAAAATGGAAATAGGTTTATTGCGACATTTGCGACAATCGATCGTAGCTAATATGTGCCCAATCATTACTGAATCTGGAGTTCTAGTTTCTCTAATTTATGGACTAGTCTATTGATTAGTCTATGGGCCAATATATTGACTAGTATATTAACTAGTATTTGGAGGCGTTTATTAACTAGTCTTTAGACGAGTAGATCATAAAATATTCAATTGACTAGTCAATAGTATAGTCTATGATCTACTCGTTTGACTAGTCTACTTACTAGTCCATTGACTAGTCTACTTACTAGTCTATTAACTAGTCTACTTACTAGTCTATTAATTAGTCTATTGACTAGTCTATTCATTAGTCTATTGAGTCTATTGACTAGTATGAACTAATCTATTGACTAGTATATTGACTAGTCTATTGACTAGCCTATTGACTAGTATATTGACTAGTCTATTGACTAGCCTATTGACTAGTCCATTAACTAGTCTATTGACTAGCCTATTGACTAGTCCATTAACTAGCCTATTGACTAGTCCATTAACTAGTCTATTGACTAGTCCATTAACTAGTTTATTGACTAGTCTATTATCTAGTCTATTGACTGGTCTTTTAACCAATCTATTGAACAGCATATTTACTAATATAGTGACTGGTCTTTTGACTAGTATAAGGACTACGCACTAGACGTTTGACTTGTTCATGGACTCATTGGCTAGTCAATATAATAGTCTATTGAATAGTCAATCGAATTATCTATGATTTACTCTATGGTCTAGTCTATAGACAAGTATATATTGACTAGACTAGTCTACGAAGTAGTCTGTTGGCTAGTCTATTTATTAGTGTATTGACTATTCTATGGCTAGTCTATGTTCTAGTCTATGGACTAATCTATTGATTAGTCTATGATTAGTCTACGTACTAGTCTATGATTATTTAGTCTACTAACTAGTTGACTAGTCTATTGAATAGTATATTAACTAATATGGTGACTAGTATTTTGACTATTGACAAGTCTATTGGCTTGTCTTTTGTAAGGTCTATTGACTAATATTCGGACTAGTTTATCAGCTGATCTATAGACTTGTCTTTTAGCTAGTCGATTGACTAGTCTTCGGACTAGTTCATTAACTGGTCTATTGACTAGTCTATTTATTAGTCTATTAACTGATCAGTGTACTAGTGTATTGGGAAGTTTTTGCACTTATATACGGAAGATTAGTCTATAGTTTTATGACTAATCTACGGACTCGTCTATTAACTAATATATGGACTATTTTATTGACAAGACTGTAAAGTAGTCTTAGACTTGTCTGCGGAATATTCTATAGACTAATCTATAACTGCTCTGGGAGGAGTGATTAAATATAACTTTAAATTATAGGCATAAATAATACAGGCATAAATAATACAGGAATTGTTTGCAACAATTAAAAAAAACTATACCTTTATCCTTTACAGAATCAATGTCGCAATTTAGAATTGGAACAATTCTATCAATCGTATATGCAACGTTTGCGTGTCAGTTATTTATCGTTATTTATCATTATCGAAATGTTAGTGGTGGGTGTGCACTCAATTATATTGCTATCAACGATAACGGTAAGTAATCAAAATCATTTTCATCGAAATAACAAAATTACTAATTAATTCTTTATTTCAACAGAATTTAAATAATGTTGCCCCTGATATATTTGCCTATGTCACCTCATCGCTATTAGTGTGGGCTATTTTGGCGCTTAATTTTCGTGTAGAACTTGTAAAACGTTATCCCTGGATAATGTATGTTACCTCCTGGTTAGCGGTTACCATATTGGCCATGACCGATATAGGAGTATCCGTTTATCATGCGGTCATAAATTTGGATATACTACGTCCAGCCTATGGTTCCTATATACTATATGCTGTCTATATATTTATGCCTTTGCCCGATAATGTACATGCTTTCATGTTGGGTATGGCGGTGACAGTTTCATATTTAATAGATTATGCTTTCGTAACGTATCGTAAACTACCGGATGGTACGAAAACTTTGGATGTTAATAAACTGATAACCGAGGGCATATTTCTATTGAGTATTAATTTTTTGGGCATATATTTTCGCATGATGAAAGAGATAGCGATACGTACAACATTTTTGGATCGTCGTAAGTATGTGGAGGAAAATCTATTGTTGCGTTATGCCCGGGAAGAGGAGGTTTGATAGAATAATCCTGATTCTTTTAGTTTTTTAAACTGATTTTTGTTTTTATTTGTTTTTAATAGCGAAGTTTATTATTAAGCATTATACCGGCCCATATTGTTAATAAAATAGAACACGATGTTAAGTCACGTTTGGAATATAAAAAGGCCAAAAGACGTGCTTCACAAAATCCACACTATGGAGCGTAAGTCTAAAGAAGGTAATTGCCATATGAATGAAGACCTTTTTTAAAAGTAACTTTTCTTAAAACCCAATTTTAGTGAAAATCAAATAAAAATATCAAGATGGCGTCAACCGGAAATTGAGTAAGTTTAGGAAGAGAATTTCTTTTAATTTTTATTTTAGTGTTGTTAATTTATGGTCCCGTTATAAATTTATAGAAAACTTTTTATTGAACCACATGATGATGTTACCATACTGTATGCCGATGTGGTTAATTATACTTATTTAACTACGACTTTGGATGTCAAGACCCTGGTGGAAACTTTGCATGATTTATTTGTAAAATTCGATACAGCTTCAGAGGTGGCTAACCAAAACAAAATATCAGAAACTTACCTTTTTAACACATTTCTATATTAAACCTTTAGGAATACAATGTACTGCGTATAAAGTTCTTGGGTGATTGCTATTACTGTGTGGCCGGAGTTTCGATACCAAATGAATATCATGCCAAATGTTGTGTTGATCTTGGCCTACGCATGATCAAGGATATTCGTGATGTAAGGTATAAATTAGATATTGTTGTTTATAATTCTTTTTGAATTACGGTTTATTCTTAAAATTTTTTAAATTCTAGAACACGACGCAGACTCAACATCGATATGCGTATTGGTGTCCATACGGGAAGTATTTTATCGGGAGTTTTGGGCGCCTGTAAACTACAGTACGATATTTGGTCTAAAGATGTTGATATAGCCAATCGTTTGGAACAGACGGGCATGGCAGGCCGAGTGCATGTTAGTGAGGAGACTTTAAAACAATTAGAGGGTGAATATATGTATGAGGAGGGCACACCACAAGCTAGAACAGATCCGGTTTTAAAGAATTTTGGTATACGTACTTTTTTGATCAAACCGCCTAGGGTAATATATATTTAGTGTGAAGAAATGTTTGGATTTGTTTTATTTTTTTTTTTTTTTGATGTATATTTTAGTACGCTTCCTATAACGAACAAAGACGTCCCTATGCGGGTGTTAAACGTCAAATCGAACAACGCTCTAGAGTTGACACTTCAACCAACTTTATGCAAAATAATATACAACAATTTAATCAGATACGTACTCAAGCTAAATTGGAAATGAGTCGAGAATTAGATAAAATGCCTATAGGAAGAATACAGTAAGTAATAACGATAATGGAAAAACATTATTTTCATAAAAACTACGAAAAAATCTTTCTTTTTACAGAAAATTTTTACAGAAAAAATTTTCTAAAATTTATCTTTTTTTATAGAAAATTTTTCTTTTTTATAGAAAATTTTCTAAAATTTATTACTTTTGTGAAAAATTATCACCATTGTGAAAAATGATCTTTATTATAGAAAAATTTCAAAAATTTCTCTTTTTTATAAAAAAAATTTCGAAAATGTTTTGTTTTGTAAGAAATTTTTTTAAATTTCACTTTTTTTACAAAAAATTTTCTAAAAATTCGTTTTTTTAAGAAATGTTCTGAAATTTCTCTTTTTTTTAGAAAATATCTCTATTTTATAGAAAATATTCGAAAAATTATCTTTTTTTATTTCGAAAATTTTTCTGTTTTATAGAAAATTTCCAAAGAAAAATTTTCCTTTTTTTATAAAAAACTTCGAAAACTTATCCTTTTTTAGAAAAATTTCGAAAATTTAGTTTTTAAGAAAAATTTCGAAAATTTCTCTTTTTTTAAAGAAAATTTTTGAAAAATCTCTTTTTTATAAAAAACTTCAAAAATTTATTTTTTATAGAAAAATTTCGAAAAAAACTTTTATAGAAAAATTTTGAAAAAAAATTTTAAAAATTTATAGAAAAATTTCGAAAATTTCTTTTTTTGTAGAACAATTTTTAAAATTTCGAAATTTATTTTGTCTCTTTAATTGAAAATATTCGAAAATTGTTTCGAAATATTTGAAAATTTATTCTTTTTATTAAAAAGAATCGAACTTTTTTTTTGGAAAATTTAAAAAATGTCTCCCTTTTGTAGAAAATTTTCGAAAATATCTCTTTTTTACTGAAAATATTCGAAAATTTTTTCGAAATATTTGAAAATTTATTCTTTTTATTACAAAGAATCGAACTTTTTTGGAAAATTTTAAACTTATCCTTTTTTAGAAAAATTTCCAAAATTTATTTTTTAAAAAAAATTTCGAAAATTCCTTTTTTTATAGAAAAATTTTGAAATTTTCTCTTTTTTATTTAGAAAATTTTTCTTTTTTATAGAAAATCTTCGAAAATTTATCTTTTTTTAAAGAAAATTTTTGAAAATATCTCTTTTTTATAAAAAACTTCAAAAATTTATTTTTTATAGAAAAATTTCGAAAAAAAATTTTATAGAAAAATTTCGAAATTTCGAAATTTCGAAAATATTTATAGAAAAATTTCGAATTTTTTTTTTTTTGTAGAAAAATTTTAAAAATTTCGAAATTTATTTAATTTTTGTCTCTTTTATTGAAAATATTCGAAATTTTTTTTCCAAATATTTGAAAATTTATTATTTTAATTAAAAAGAATCGAACCTTTGTTTGGAAAATTTTAAAAAATGTCTCCCTTTTGTGGAAAATTTTCGAAAATATCTCTCTTTTTACTGAAAATTTTTGAAAAAATATGTTGAAAATTTGTAATTTTTTAAAGAAAATGTTCGAAAATTTCTCTTTTTTTCGAAAACGTCTCTTTTTTATAGAAAATATTCGAACATTTTTTCTATTCTATAGAAAAATTTTTCTTTTTTTTTATAGAAAATATTCGAACATTTTTTCTTTTCTATAAAAAAATTTCAAAAGTTTCTCTTTTTTTAGAAAATTTTCAAAAATTTCAAATAAAATTTTCGAAAAATTTTGTTTTTATAGAATATTTTTCTTTTCTTTATAACATTTCTCTTATAGAAAATTTTCCTAAATTTTCACTATTTTATAAAAAAATTTTCCTCTATATTTATTTTCTTTAAAACTCATTTGAAAAAATTCTTCTCTTCGTTGCTAATTCAGAAATTTGTTTCTTCCCTTCAACAGAGTCACAAAATTCTGCTTTGATCGCTCGAAACGTTTGACACAAGATGAAATGGAGGAGCAAAACTTTCGACGCAACATAACCTCAATGTGTTTGTTCTTTAAGGATTGGCGTTGGGAAATGCAATTTCTACGAGAACCAGATGATATGTTAAAATACAGTGTCATTATGGGAGTTATAATATTTTTTGGCATAATGGCCATACAGTCAATAAATAAAGTGTATGTATCTCTTAATTGTATAACGTTCCTTTAAATTCGAAAAGATTCCCTTTCATTTTATATCTCTAGGCAATCCACAAATTTTTGGGCTTCCAATGCCACATACATTGTATTAATGATCATTTGTATATTTTTGACTTGGTTTAAGAAACTATGGATAATGTTTTTTGCTGAGACCACACAGTCGGAACCGAAAAATAAATTTATATTATTTCTCTTTGATGCTTCAAAACATATACAGAGCAGTATAACGGCTCGTATAACCATATATCTGTTAATAATCATCATACACTGTTCGGCCACATTTATACAATTGGTAAGCCATTTTTTTAGTTGAAAAAAATATAAATTTTATTCTAAAATATCCAAACTTTTAGTTAGATTGTAAAAACTGGCCCATATATGCCGAAGATGACTGGGACAAAGACTCAAATTTAGAACATTTTTCCAATGGCCGGGAATGTGAAGTTGGTTTTAATCCTTGGGTAAGCTTTCAGTTAATAATTTTTAATTTAATAAACCATTTCAAAACTAATTTTCAGGGCATTACCGAAAGTTTAGAACTGACCATTTGCATGGTGTTTCTTTTCTCACGCATACCCTTTGTGGTAAAATTGGGGGTGGGTATTTTAATTTCGGGTATTTATGCCATTGTTATATTTGTTAGCTATTCACCAATTTATGAGGCCAGTCCTTCGACAAATGTTGCCTTGCAGGCCGAATATTCTCATGTTATGGTTATAGTTATAACGCTGGTCATTTTTCATTTAATGGATCGTCAGACGGAGTTCATATCGAAGGTTGATTACAAGTAAGTAGTTAATTTTTTTTTTTTTTAATGCAGAAGAATTAATTCTTTTAACATAATTTCAGTTGGAAACGTCAACTGCAAAGAAAGCAAGAAGATGCTGAGGTTACAAATGCCTCTATAACGGTACTGATTAAAAATATTTTACCATCTCATGTGGGTAAGTAGACTCAAAGAAATGTGGAATATAAATGGCCTACGGTAGTCTAGTCAAGAGTATAGTCTAGTCTATAGTATAGTCTAGCCTATAGTATAGTCTAGCCTATAGTCCAGTCTATAGTTTAGTCTATAGTCCAGTCTATAGTATCTTCAGACTAGTCTACAGTATAATATAGTTTATTCTGTAGTCTAGTCAATAGTCCAGTCTATAGTCTAGTCTATAGTCCAATCTATAGTCTAGACTATAGTCTAGTCTATAGTCTAGTCTATAGTCTAGTCTATAGTCTAGTCTATAGTCTAGTCTATAGTCTAGTCTATAGTCTAGTCTATAGTCTAGTCTATAGTCTAGTCTATAGTCTAGTCTATAGTCTAGTCTATAGTCTAGTCTATAGTCTAGTCTATAGTCTAGTCTATAGTCTAGTCTATAGTCTAGTCTATAGTCTAGTCTATAGTCTAGTCTATAGTCTAGTCTATAGTCTAGTCTATAGTCTAGTCTATAGTCTAGTCTATAGTCTAGTCTATAGTCTAGTCTATAGTCTAGTCTATAGTCTAGTCTATAGTCTAGTCTATAGTCTAGTCTATAGTCTAGTCTATAGTCTAGTCTATAGTCTAGTCTAGTCTATAGTCTAGTCTATAGTCTAGTCTATAGTCTAGTCTATAGTCTAGTCTATAGTCTAGTCTATAGTCTAGTCTATAGTCTAGTCTATAGTCTAGTCTATAGTCTAGTCTATAGTCTAGTCTATAGTAGGTCTAGTCTATATCTAGTCTAAGTCTAGTCTATAGTCTAGTCTATAGTCTAGTCTATAGTCTAGTCTAGTCGATAGTCTAGTCTATAGTCTAGTCTATAGTCTAGTCTATAGTCTAGTCTATAGTCTAGTCTATAGTCTAGTCTATAGTCTAGTCTATAGTCTAGTCTATAGTCTAGTCTATAGTCTAGTCTATAGTTAGTCTATGTCTGTCTATAGTCTAGTCTATAGTCTAGTCTATAGTCTAGTCTATAGTCTAGTCTATAGTCTAGTCTATAGTCTAGTCTATAGTCTAGTCTATATCTAGTCTATAGTCTAGTCTATAGTCTAGTCTATAGTCTAGTCTATAGTCTATCTATAGTCTAGTCTATAGTCTAGTCTATAGTCTAGTCTATAGTCTAGTCTATAGTCTAGTCTATAGTCTAGTCTATAGTCTAGTCTATAGTCTAGTCTATAGTCTAGTCTATAGTCTAGTCTATAGTCTAGTCTATAGTCTAGTCTATAGTCTAGTCTATAGTCTAGTCTATAGTCTAGTCTATAGTCTAGTCTATAGTCTAGTCTATAGTCTAGTCTATAGTCTAGTCTATAGTCTAGTCTATAGTCTAGTCTATAGTCTAGTCTATAGTCTAGTCTATAGTCTAGTCTATAGTCTAGTCTATAGTCTAGTCTATAGTCCTAGTCTATAGTCTAGTCTATAGTCTAGTCTATAGTCTAGTCTATAGTCTAGTCTAGTCTAGTCTATAGTCTATCTATAGTCTAGTCTATAGTCTAGTCTATAGTCTAGTCTATCTAGTCTAGTCCTAGTTAGTCTAGTCTATAGTCTAGTCTATAGTCTAGTCTATAGTCTAGTCTATAGTCTGTCTATAGTCTAGCTATAGTCTAGTCCTATAGTCTAGTCTATAGTCTAGTCTATAGTCTAGTCTTAGTCTAGTCTATAGTCTAGTCTATAGTCTAGTCTATAGTCTAGTCTATAGTCTAGTCTATAGTCTAGTCTATAGTCTAGTCTATAGTCTAGTCTATAGTCTAGGTCTATAGTTCTAGTCTTATAGTCTAGTCTATAGTCTAGTCTAAGGTCTAGTCTATAGTCTAGTCTATAGTCTAGTCTATAGTCTGGTTTATAGTCTAGTCTATAGTCTAGTCTATAGTCTATTCTATAGTCTAGTCTATAGTCTAGTCTATAGTCTGGTCTATAGTCTGGTCTATAGTCTAGTCTATAGTCTAGTCTATAGTCTAGGTCTATAGTCTAGTCTATAGTCTGGTCTATAGTCTGGTCTATAGTCTAGTCTATAGTCTAGTCTATAGTCTAGTCTATAGTCTAGTCTATAGTCTAGTCTATAGTCTAGTCTATAGTCTAGTCTATAGTCTAGTCTATAGTCTAGTATATAGTCTTAGTCTATAGTCTAGTCTATAGTCTAGTCTATAGTCTAGTCTATAGTCTAGTCTATAGTCTAGTCTATAGTCTAGTCTATAGTCTAGTCTATAGTCTAGTCTATAGTCTAGTCTATAGTCTAGTCTATAGTCTAGTCTATAGTCTAGTCTATAGTCTATAGTCTAGTCTATAGTCCAGTCTATAGTCTAGTCTATAGTCTAGTCTATAGTCCAGTCTATAGTGTCGTCTTTAGTCTGATCTATGGTCTAGTTTTTTTAATTTATCTATTATTTTAGCCGATATTTATATATCGAAACAAATGAAAAATGAATTATATTACGAAGAATATGATAACGTGGCCGTTATGTTTGCTTCCATAAAAAATTATGATATAGAAAGTGTGGGCCTTAGAGTGCTTAACGAGATTATATGCGACTTTGATGAAGTGGTAAGTTTAGACTATAAGAAAAATCTTTTAATTAAATTCTAAATTTAAAAATTCTCTACAAGCTCAAACTTTTTGAAGCCGAAGGTATGTTTAAGGTTGAGAAAATCAAAGTGGCTGGGTGGACTTATATGGCGGCCTGTGGTTTAGATTTAGCCCGTTCCGAACATGTTAATACTCAAACAAATTTTCGCAGTTCATCGCTGTTGCCCAATGGACGCAGAAGTCATTACAATAATAATAGTTGTGAGTTTTACAAAAAAATGTATTAAAATTACATATATTTACTTTTAAATAAAATTACAGTCAATTCACATTCCTCAAATGATATAAGACTTGACATGGGGCCCTCCACCTCAAAAGAGGCCGCGGAAAGAACGAAAAAACTTTCGAATCAATATGAGGGTCATAGTAATAATACCAATCAGAAAAGTCGAAAAATTAGTTCACCACAACAGTGTAATGTGGTGCATGTTATGGCCCAATTCGCTCTACAATTAATGAAAACCATGCATTCATTTAATGTCGAGAATCTACAATGTGAAGATGGTGATTCGGATTATGGCATGTTAAGAATTGGTAAGTGGGAGAGTAGTGGTTCTTAGTAATATAGTTGTATTAATCTTGTTTTTAAAACAGGCATTAGTAATGGTTCCATTATGGCGGGAGTTGTTGGTTCCTCTAAACCTCACTACGATATCTGGGGTAATTGCGTTAATATGGCTTCACGCATGGATTCGACTGGTATACCCGGCCATATACAAGTCACCGAAGATACTGCGGAAATTTTACGTACCTTTAATATACAATGCAATTTTCGTGGCATGACCTATGTTAAGGGTCGTGGTGAAATACCCACCTATTTTGTGGGTATTGATGAAAATTTAAATTTCATACCAGAAACAACAAGTACAAATGATCTAAGAAAAGATAGCAAACAAGAATGAGACTACACACCGATGACTGATTTCATATGAATAATAATGTTCAGACCTTTTCCTCGCATTTGCACCCCATACAGTCATAGACAAATTGCACTTACCTAATTAGAAAACGAAAATTCGAAAATCGAAGATTTGTACATTTATAAATATGTAGTTGAACTTAGTTAAATGTATGTTTTTTATATGTAAATCGTGTTAAAAATAAAATTTTATAATAATTTATAAGTTTAAATTTAGAAACATATATTCACCGTTATTTAAATAGAATAATTACATAAACGATTGTATTTAAATTAAAAATAAATATAATAAAACTGATGGATATATGTATGTATGTATAAAGTCGGCAGAGACCGATCATTTGAAACCCTATACATCGACATTAAACATGATTTGGTTCAATTTGATATAAAATATTGGCGCAAATCACTGTTTTTAGGATTTAGGATTTTGAAGTATTATAAAGAATTCTCCTTCCTCATTTTGCTTAAAATCATATTTGCTTAAAGTATCTGTATAATCAGCTTTAAGTTGTTTACAGTCTGAAAATGAAAATAAAATATATCGTTAGTTGAATGTGAACATAGCACAATATGCCGAAATAAATTGAACCAATATCTAACTACAAAGAAACCAGTATGGTAGGACCACCAGATGTAAAATCGTGATCAATGCACTGTTATACAAGACAATATATATTGCCCTGCCTCATGACATTTGGACTGTTTTACGATTTTACCTTAAGTTTAGAGTCATGTTAACAAAAAACTGTAGACTAGACAATAGACTAGGCTATAAACTAGAATATACACTATAGACTAGATTATAGACTAGACTATAGACCTGACTATTGACTAGACTATAGACTAGGCTGTAGACTAGACTATAGACTGGACTATAGAGTAGACTATAGACAGGATCATAGACTAGATTATATACAAGACAGCAGACTGGATTATAGATTAGACTATAGGCTAGGCTATAGACCAGACCGTAGACTAGACTCTAGACTGGACTATAGACTAGAGTATAGGCTAGACTATAGACTAGACCATGGACTAGACTATGGACTAGACTATGGACTAGACTATAGACTAGACTATAGACTAGACTGTAGACTAGACTATAGACTAGACTATAGACTAGACTATAGACTAGACAATAGACTAGACTATAGACTAGACTATAGACTAGACTATAGACTAGACTGTAAACTAGACTATAGACTAGACTATAGACTAGACTATAGACTAGACTATAGACTAGACTATAGACTAGACTATTGACTAGACTATAGACTAGACTAGTCTAGACTATAGACTAGACTAGTCTAGACTATAGACTAGACTAGTCTAGACTAGACTATAGACTAGACTATAGACTAGACTGTAAACTAGACTATAGACTAGACTATAGACTAGACTATAGACTAGACTATAGACTAGACTATAGACTAGACTATAGACTAGACTATAGACTAGACTATAGACTAGACTATAGACTAGACTATAGACTAGACAATAGACTAGACTATAGACTAGACTATAGACTAGACTATAGACTAGACTATAGAGTAGACTATAGACTAGACTATAGACTAGACTATAGACTAGACTATAGAGTAGACTATAGACTAGACTAGAGTAGACTATAGACTAGACTATAGACTAGACTATAGACTAGACTATAGACTAGACTATAGACTAGACTATAGACTAGACTATAGACTAGACTATAGACTAGACTATAGACTAGACTATAGACTAGACTATAGACTAGACTATAGACTAGACTATAGACTAGACTATAGACTAGACTATAGACTAGACTATAGACTAGACTATAGACTAGACTATAGACTAGACTATAGACTAGACTATAGACTAGACTATAGACTAGACTATAGACTAGACTATAGACTAGACTATAGACTAGACTATAGACTAGACTATAGACTAGACTATAGACTAGACTATAGACTAGACTATAGACTAGACTATAGACTAGACTATAGACTAGACTAGACTATAGACTAGACTAGACTAGACTAGACTATAGACTAGACTAGACTATAGACTAGACTAGACTAGACTAGACTAGACTATAGACTAGACTAGACTATAGACTAACTAACTAACTAACTAACTAACTAACTAACTAACTAACTAACTAACTAACTAACTACTAACTAACTAACTAACTAACTAACTAACTAACTAACTAACTAACTAACTACTAACTACTAACTACTAACTAACTACTAACTAACTAACTACTAACTACTAACTACTAACTAACTAACTAACTAACTAACTAACTCTAACTAACTACTAACTAACTACTACTAACTAACTAACTAACTAACTAACTAACTAACTAACTAACTAACTAACTAACTACTCTAACTAACTAACTAACTAACTAACTAACTAACTAACTAACTAACTAACTAACTAACTAACTAACTAACTAACTAACTACTAACTAACTAACTAACTAACTACTACTAACTAACTACTAACTAACTAACTAACTAACACTAACCTAACTAACTAACTAACTAACTAACTAACTAACTACTAACTAACTAACTAACTACTACTAACTACTAACTAACTAACTAACTAACTAACTAACTAACTAACTAACTACTAACTAACTAACTACTAACTAACTAACTAACTAACTAACTAACTAACTAACTAACTAACTAACTACTAACTACTAACTAACTAACTACTAACTAACTACCTAACTAACACTAACTAACTAACTAACTAACTAACTAAACTAACTAACTAACTAACTACTAACTAACTAACTAACTAACTAACTAAACTAACTAACTAACTAACTAACTAACTAACCTAACTAACTAACTAACTAACTAACTAACTAACTAACTAACTAACTAACTAACTAACTAACTAACTAACTAACTAACTAACTAACTAACTAACTAACTAACTAACTAACTAACTAACTAACTAACTGGCGGCGGAACCTTTATAGGAAATATAAGATCTTTAACTCTTTAAAAAAATACTCACGAATATAGGTTTCCATGTAAAAGTGAAGGAAAGGTAACAAGCCATGTCACTGGGATTTCGGTGTTAGACTCAGGTTCAATATTATATATTATATTTTAATTTCAAAATTTACTTACCCACATAAAAAATCACTAATATTGATATGTTGCAGTTGATGAGGAAATTTTTTACTGCTTAAAAGTTGTTCGAAAAACAAAATTTTAAATAGTTTCTCTTTGCAATCACAAAAAACTGTTAATTTCAATTTTATATTTCGCTGTAAAAATAATAACCAAAATTCTATATTTGCACTAAAAACAATTAAGGGAATTTTTAAATATTCCAAATTTTTAGTTAATTCCCGACACGAGTTACCCTCATCAACACTAGCCTTAATATCTATTGAAATACCCAAAGACAAGCCAATGATGAGGTTTGTTAGATGGGGTAATTGCAAGAGATGTTTTAAATAGAACCAAGACATGATGGTGTTTAAATGAATTTTTAAGAAATTCAAATACTTTAGACATTTTAAATCCTCAATTTTTATGAAATAGTCTATAATTAGCAATTTTTGTACTTTGGGATAAATATACGGAATATTTTCCAAAATAATTGGATTTCCTAAACTTGAGGGTCCACTTTGAAACCAAATAAGTTTAGAGATATTTTCAAATCGGTTGCTGGGGTTAGTTAAAGCTGATGTTATATCTGGTTGTAGAGTTGTTCCCACTGTTAAAGCTTTTAAATTATCGCCAGTATAATTGTAATTGTAAATATTTTTCTGACATAGGGTATTTGTTAGTTTAAGTGATTGTAATTTATATACACTAAAGATTTCCCTTAAATTACAACCACTCAATTCCCGACACCAGTTTAAAGTTAAACTGGAAAGATTTTCTATTGGTGAAAATTTTGTTATAATTAATTTACACTGTTCTAGTGTTAAGTCTTCTAGTAGTTGGCAATTATTTGCTAAGGTTAAGAAAAATATATCATCCACTGTTATATCGGCAAAAGGATCCATTTTAAGAGTTAATTTTGTAAGATTTTTAAAATTAACCAAACATTTCAAGTTAAATTGTAGCCATAACTTTTGATCACAAAAACGTTCAATTCTTAAACTATCTAAAGATTTTGTTTTATACATAATTTTTCCTTGGCAGTTGGATCCACTAGTATCCACATATAAAGGTGCTTTTATGCTAAGTTTCTTTAGTTTTGAGATCTTATAAAACTTTTGCAGAATTTTGTAATCCATGTCGATATTATAAAAATTTATAACTGTCAATTCGCTTAGCTCCGGCATTTCTTCAAATATATTTACTTGTATATCTCGGCCCATTATAAGAGGTTTTTGCTCACAATTCTTACAGCATTCCATATGAAATCTGCTTAATTTTAAACAATTTCTAGCTAGTTGTTTTAAATGTTCATTATTTACTTGGCATTTATAAAAAGTAATTGTGGTTAAATTTTTAAAATCAAAAGTAATACGTTCTATGGCAAATTCCATAAAATTCAATTCAAAATTCTGCACATAACTCCTGCATAAGGACAAAAACATTTCAATTCTCTCGTAATCCATTGCACATTCTTTATCTTTATTATTACATTTCACCATTATAGTTTCCGGAAATATTTGAGTAAATTTTATATTTCTACACTTAAGTCTCCATATTAGCTGGGTTATTGGAAATTCAAATTCTTTGCAAATTTGTGAGATTTTTAATTGTTCATTTAAATCCAAGTATTTGAATATAGATTCTAAAGCATCACAGTTGTGAAGAATTTTTTCAAACGTTTCCATTTTAAAGGTTCTTAATCTATCCGTTTAATTGATAATTGTTGTTGAAACTTAAAAATCTTGTAAAGAATGACACAATATATACATATATCTATTTAAAATTGAAATACTTGTGATCTATTTTGATCAAACCACAATTATGAGAATATTCATTGGTTTTACAAGAAAACATGAATCAATAAAGATTTTGAATTGAAATTTCTATTTTAATATTAGTACTCGAGTTAACTTTTTTATTATACATACATATATCAGATATAAACTCTAGTAATTGGAGGTCCAACTTAATTTTTTGTAAAACACATGTCTTAGTAAAATTTATAAATATATCTCTTTGATCTTATTGAAATTTAGTTGGACCTTCTTTTGTTTCATCAAAGTTAAGTTCTAATTGTAGTTAAAGGCCTATAATCCATGTTGAACTTTAATAGTAAGTCAATTGCAGGTCTTTATATAGCCCTGAAAGAGCTTCAATCGTATGTCTTTGTATGGTTCAAGTTGAGTTTCAGTTGAAAATCTGTATATAGTCCAAGTTGAACGTTAATGCAAAGTATTCAATTGTAGATCATTAATGATCTAAACAGGGATTAAATTGTAAATTTCAAAATGAGCGTTCATTTTAATTCTGAATATAATCCACGTTGAGCTTCAATCGTTTTTCCTTATATAATACAAGTCGATCTTCAATCGTAGATCTTTAGTGCAAGATGATCTTTATTGAAGTCCCAGTTTAGCTTAAATCGAAGGTCTTTATATAGTCCAAGTTGGACTTCAATCATAGGTCATTTTCAGTCTTAGGTAAGTTTCAATAGTTAGTCTTTAATAATAGCACAATTTGAGCTTTAATCGTAGTTCTTTATACAGTCCAAGTTGAGCTCATTTTAGTTAACAATATAGGGTTCAAGTTGAGTTTTCATCTTATAGTCAAAATTGAGCTTTAATGAAGTCCAAGTTTAACTTCAAATATAGGTTATAGAAATTCAATCATATTATCTTTATTCAGTCCAAATTGAGCTTCAATAGTCCATGTTAAACTTTACTAGTAAGTCAATTACAGGTCTTTATATAGCCCAGGAAGAGCTTCAATCGTATGTCTTTGTAAAGATCAAGTTATGTTTCAATTGAAAGTCTGTATATAGTCCAAGTTGAGCTTCAATGCTAAGTCTTTAATTTTAGATCTTTAATGATCTAAACAGGGATTAAATTGAAGATTTCGATCAAGTCCAATTTGAACTTCAATTGCAGCTTTTTATTTAATCAGAGTTGAGCTTTTACTAAAGGTTATTGGCTATTACAAATTGAGCGATTATTTTAATTCTCTATATAATCCACATTGAGCTTCAATCGTTGTTTCTTATATAATTCGTAGATCTTTATAATGTCTAAGTTGAGCTCCAATCATAGGAATTTATATAGTCCAAGATGATCTTCATTAAAGTCCAAGTTTAGCTTAAATCGAAGGTCTTTATATAGTTCAAGTTGGAATTCAATCATACGTCTTTATTCAGTCCAAGCTAAACTTCAATCGTTAGTCTTTAATGTTAGTACAATTTGAGCTTTAATCGCAGTTCTAGATACAGTCCAAGTTGAGCATATTTTAGTTAACAATATAGTCCACATCGAGCTTCAATCGATTTTTATATATTTCTATTTGAACTTCAATCGAAAGTCTTAATAGGGTTCAAGTTGAGTTTTCATCTTAGGTGTCTATATAGTCAAAATTGAGCTATATCGAAGTCCAAGTTTAACTTTAATCATATGTCTTTATTGTATAATGCAAGTTGAGATTCAATCATATTATCTTTAATCAGTCCAAGTTGAGCTTCAAATGTCGATCTTTATAAAGTCCAAATTGAGCTTCAATTATAGGTATTTATATAGTCCTAGAAGAGCTTCATTAAAGTCTAAGTTTAGCTTCACTTTAAGGACTTTATATAGAATAATTAATGCTTTAATTATAGTTTTTCTTATATCAAAAGTCAAAATTGACCATCATCGAAGTCCAATCAAAGGACTTTATAATCCAAGTTGTGATAAAATTATTGTTTTTTATTCAGTCAAAGTTGAGCTTCAAACGTCTTATATAGTACAAGTTGAGTTTCAACCATAGCCATTTATATACATCTTTTTATGGCTTAAGCTGAACTTCAATTTTAGGTCGCCGTAAGCTTCAATCATAGGGTTTATAAAGTTTAAGTAGATCTTCAGTCGTAGGCTCGTATATAGTCTAAATAGAGCATTAATTATTAGTTGGAATTCAAGATGATCTTTAGTTGAAGGCCTTTGCAAAGGCCAAGTTTTACTGCAATCATAGTTGATCGCTTATAGGCTATGTTGAGCTTTAATTAAGATCGGGTAGTCAATTAAGATATACCAAATTTAGCCTCTTTTGAGTTTTTGTTATAGCACCAGTTCATATTTCATTTCAGATCTCTGTAGTCAAAGTTGTGCTTTTTTTTACACTACAAGTTAAGTTTTAATTGTTGGTTTTTTTATGGTCGAAGTTGAGATTTCATCTTTAGTCTATAGTCTTTTTATAACTCAAATAGGGCTTCAGTCGTAGGTTTATATAAAAGTAGAGCTTTAACTGTATCATTCTTTACAAAGTCTTATTAGACCTGCAATCAAAAGTTATTATATAGTCGAAGTAAATCACCAATTGTAGGTCTTATTATAAAATATGTAGGGATTCAATTGTGAATCGATATATAGTCTAACTAGATCTTTATACGTCTAGTCTATAGTCTAGTCTATAGTCTAGTCTATAGTCTAGTCTATAGTCTAGTCTATAGTCTAGTCTATAGCCTAGTCTATAGTCTAGTCTATAGTCTATTCTATAGTCTAGTCTATAGTCTAGTCTATAGTCTATTCTATAGTCTAGTCTATAGTCTAGTCTAGTCTAGTCTATAGTCTAGTCTATAGTCTAGGCTATAGTCAAGTCTATAGTCTAGTCTATAGTCTAGTTTTTAGTCTAGTCTATAGTCGAGTCTATAGTCTAGTCTATAGTCTAGTCTATAGTCTAGTCTATAGTCTAGTCTATAGTCTAGTCTATAGTCGAGTCTATAGTCTAGTCTATAGTCTAGTCTATAGTCTAGTCTATAGTCTAGTCTATAGTCTAGTCTATAGTCTAGTCTATAGTCTAGTCTATAGTCTAGTCTATAGTCTAGTCTATAGTCTAGTCTATAGTCTAGTCTATAGTCTAGTCTATAGTCTAGTCTATAGTCTAGTCTATAGTCTAGTCTATAGTCTAGTCTATAGTCTAGTCTATAGTCTAGTCTATAGTCTAGTCTATAGTCTAGTCTATAGTCTAGTCTATAGTCTAGTCTATAGTCTAGTCTATAGTCTAGTCTATAGCTCTAGTCTATTAGTCTAGTCTAGTCTATAGTCTGTCTATAGTCTAGTTCTAGTCTAGTCTATAGTCTAGTCTATAGTCTAGTCTATAGTCTAGTCTATAGTCTAGTCTATCTAGTCTATAGTCTGTCTAGTCTAGTCTATAGTCTAGTCTATAGTCTAGTCTATAGTCTAGTCTATAGTCTAGTCTATAGTCTAGTCTATAGTCTAGTCTATAGTCTAGTCTATAGTCTAGTCTAAGTCTAGTCTATAGTCTAGTCTATAGTCTAGTCTATAGTCTAGTCTATAGTCTAGTCTATAGTCTAGTCTATAGTCTAGTCTATAGTCTAGTTATAGTCTAGTCTATAGTCTAGTCTATAGTCTAGTCATATCAGTCTATAGTCAGTCTATAGTCTAGTCTATAGTCTAGTCTATAGTCTAGTCTATAGTCTAGTCTATAGTCTAGTCTATAGTCTAGTCTATAGTCTAGTCTATAGTCTAGTCTATAGTCTAGTCTATAGTCTAGTCTATAGTCTAGTCTATAGTCTAGTCTATAGTCTAGTCTATAGTCTAGTCTATAGTCTAGTCTATAGTCTAGTCTATCTAGTCTATAGTCTAGTCTATAGTCTAGTCTATAGTCTAGTCTATAGTCTAGTCTAGTCTAGTCTATAGTCTATCTATAGTCTAGTCTATAGTCTAGTCTATAGTCTAGTCTATAGTCTAGTCTATAGTCTAGTCTATAGTCTAGTCTATAGTATAGTCTATAGTCTAGTCTATAGTCTAGTCTAGTCATAGTCTAGTCTATAGTCTAGTCTATAGTCTAGTCTATAGTCTAGTCTATAGTCTAGTCTATAGTCTAGTCTATAGTCTAGTCTATAGTCTAGTCAATAGTCTAGTCTATAGTCTAGTCTATAGTCTAGTCTATAGTCTATTCTATAGTCTATCTATAGTCTAGTCTATAGTCTAGTCTATAGTCTAGTCTATAGTCTAGTCTATAGTCTAGTCATAGTCTAGTCTATAGTCTAGTCTATAGTCTAGTCTATAGTATAGTCTAGTAGTCTAGTCTATAGTCTAGTCTATAGTCTAGTCTATAGTCTAGTCTATAGTCTAGTCAATAGTCAAGTCTATAGTGAAGTCTATAGTCTAGTCTATAGTGTAGTATATAGTCTAGTCAAAGGTTAGTTTGTATTCTAGTCTATTGCCTAGTACAGTCATATACTATTCAAATATTATTAGAATTTTTGGTAATAAAAAGTTCGTCTGATTGCCATTCAGAAACTAGTACGAATTCGATAATATCTTCACAAACCGAACTAGAAAGCCATTGTAATCGTTCTATTTAGACACAAACTTTTTGTGAACTGCTTTATTTATTATCATTTGTATTTGTTTATTGGAAATGGTGTATATTCCAAAAAAAAAAAGCCTTATCTATACTTTTTGGAAATTGATATGGTTTAATCAAACTATTATTATATTACACATAAAAGCCTGTTCAGTCTATAAACACTACTGCAAACGTAAACTCGAAAATATGTCTTCTCGAAATACAAATATTTCAACAATAGAAAATTGTTTCCAAAATATTGAATTGGTCAAAAATATTTGCCAATTTCTAACTTACGAACAGCAGTTGCAATTATTAAGAGTTAGCGAAGAATTAGAATATATTATTACAAATTTTGTGTGGAACAAACAATTTAAAGAAGTTGAAGTTTATGTTTTAAAGAAATGCGACAAATATTTAATATCAAATAAAATTGACACAGAAGCCAGCAGTTACAATAGATATGTTCACATACCTAATTTGCGCGAAATATTTAGTCAAACTAATATTCTTTTGGAAAAAAGTGAAATGGAAATTTTCTTCAATTTAAATGCTAAAAATATACAGAAATTACATTTTAAATTAAATGCCGATATTCAAAGGGATTTGATAAAACTGCCTCCAATAGAAAAGTTTACAAATCTCACCTATTTTAGATGCGAGAAGGTTATTTTAAGCAATAGAGATGTAAAAAATTTGGCTAAAAATTGTTTAAAACTGGAAACATTAGACTTGTTTAATTGCCGTAATATAGAGGGTCAACCCTTGGTCTTGGATAAGGACATTGATGTTTCGGTATTGCAAAACATGGCAAATTTGAAAAACCTATTTATAAATTACACCGACTGGTGTGATGGACGACATTTGTACAACTTTTCCAATGTTCAACATATTTTACAACAATTACAATTACAGCGTTTTGGCATAAGTTGTACTATAGAATCGGACGAATATGCAGATAAAGAGGATTTAAATTTCAGCAGTTTAAGTTATTATCAGGCTTTTGAAATAGGTCCTTGTGATGTTATGGATTTCTTAGAATTTCAATCAAATATTTTGCCAAAATTTGAAAATCTGGCCGAATTAACTATAAATGACTACAAAAGTATTACCACCGATTTTTTTAATATTCTACTAGGATCCTGTAAAAATTTATTTCACTTATCTTTCAATAAGTGCTATTTCCATGATTTCATAAGCCTTCCAAAATTAAAAGAACTTGGTCTAGTATCTTGTTGTGGCTTAACTAGCTCAAATTTAAAAACCATTTTGCACGACCTAAAGTTATCTAGTTTCAAATCAATTGCCACCCACTATGAAGGAGATATTCACAATTTTCTGATTTCATCAACTTTAGAAAAATTACAATGTGATTTCTGTGGCGAAAAACTCATGCAACTGTTCCAGTTTAATCATCGAAATCTTAAAAACTTAATATTTTTCAATTGGGAAATATGGGGCTGGGACGCCAGTGAAATAAGACTTTCAAGTTTTGCACCCAACTTACAAGTTTTATACATTCCTTGGCGTTATCTAAAGATAAATGATTGTTTCGAATTGAAATCTTTGCGTAAAGTAATACTTGATTTAGATGCTAATATCGATATCAATATGTCAGAATTGCTGCAGCTGCTAAAACTTGAAAATTTAAAAGAATTAACCATTGATGACTTATATGTTCCCAATCCGGATGTTGATTTTAGTAAACTGAAAGCTTTTAAGACCAATCTTCAACATCTCAATATTATCCGGGAAGTTTTCTATGCTTTGGAAGATTTTTGCCTAGACTTACTACAGCTAAATAGAAAGTTGATATTAACTTGTTTTGATATAACTACAGATTTAGTTAGTAAAGTTTTGAATAATGCAAAGTTTCCCAGCCGTTTTAAGTATATAAATATTTGTGGCATTACTATAGGTAAGTATTTATAAATTTCATAAAATAAATAATGAACTTAAAGAAAATGTTCATATGTAAATATAAATTTCAGATTGCACATTAATACGGCAGCAGTGTAAGAAAACTATGGAACTAATAGAATTACTTGTGAATACCTTTAGTATGACTAAATGTTACTTTATCCTTGAATAATGCCGAAGTATTACAAATGAGCGGATAGAATTTCTATAAAATATGTCGCATAATTACAATGAAAAATTACAGTCACATAGGATAATGTTCTGCAGTAGCCTCTGAATTTCATCTAATCTAGCCTAGAGCCTAGTCTATAAACTATCATTTAGTGTATTCTATAGTCAAACTTGGCTATAGTTAAGTATATGGTTTAGTATACAATCTACTCTATAGTGTAGTCTATAGTCTAGTCTATTGTGTAGTCTATTGTCTAGTCTATATTCTAGTCTAAAGTCTAGTCTACAGTCTATAGTCTAGTCTATAATCTAGTCTACAGTCTAGTCTATAGTCTAGTCTATAGTCTAGTCCATAGTCTAGTTTATAGTCTAGTCTATAGTCTAGTCTATAGTCTAGTCTATAGTGTAGTCTATAGTTTAGTCTATAATCTAGTCTATAGTTTGGTCTATAGTTTGGTCTATAGTTTCGTCTATAGTCTAGTCTATAGTCTAGTCTATGGTCTATGGTCTATAGTCTAGTCTACAGACTAGACTATAGACTAGACTATAGACTAGACTATAGACTAGGCTATAGACTAGACTATAGACTATACTATAGACTAGACTATAGACTAGACTACAGACTAGACTATAGACTAGACTATAGACTAGATTATAGACTAGATTATAGACTAGACTATAGACTAGACTATAGACTAGACTATAGACTAGACTATAGACTAGACTATAGTCTATAGAATAGTCTAGTCTAGTCTATAGTCTAGTCTGTAGTCTAGTCTGTAGTCTAGTCTATAGTCTAGTCTATAGTATAGTCTATAGTCTAGTCTATAGCCTAGTCTATAGTCTAGTCTATAGTCTAGTCTATAGTCTAGTCTAAGGTATAGTCTATAGTCTAGTCTATAGCCTAGTCTATAGCCTAGTCTATAGTCTAGTCTATAGTCTAGTCTATAGTCTAGTCTATAGTCTAGTCTATAGTCTAGTCTATAGTCTAGTCTATAGTCTAGTCTATAGTATAGTCTATAGTCTAGTCTATAGTATAGTCTATAGTCTAGTCTATAGTCTAGTCTATAGTATAGTCTATAGTCTAGTCTAGTAGCTATAGTCTAGTCTATAGTCTAGTCTATAGTCTAGTCTATAGTCTAGTCTATAGTCTAGTCTATAGTCTAGTCTATAGTCTAGTCTATAGTCTAGTCTATAGTCTAGTCTATAGTCTAGTCTATAGTCTAGTCTATAGTCTAGTCTATAGTCTAGTCTATAGTCTAGTCTATAGTCTAGTCTATAGTCTAGTCATAGCACTAGACTATATACTAGAATATAGTAGACAACAGACTAGACTGCAGATTAGACTATAGACTTGACTATAGTCTAGTCTATAGTCTAGTCTATAGTCTAGTCTATAGTCTAGTCTATAGTCTAGTCTATAGTCTAGTCTATAGTCTAGTCTATAGTCTAGTCTATAGTCTAGTCTATAGTCTAGTCTATAGTCTAGTCTATAGTCTAGTCTATAGTCTAGTCTATAGTCTGGTCTATAGTCTAGTCTATAGTCTAGTCTATAGTCTAGTCTATAGTCTAGTTTATAGTCTAGTCTATAGTCTAGTTTATAGTCTAGTCTATAGTCTATAGTCTAGTCTATAGTCTAGTCTATAGTCTAGTCTATAGTCTAGTCTATAGTCTAGTCTATAGTCTAGTCTATAGTCTAGTCTATAGTCTAGTCTATAGTCTAGTCTATAGTCTAGTCTATAGTCTAGTCTATAGTCTAGTCTATAATCTAGTCTATAGTCTAGTCTATAGTCTAGTCTATAGTGTGGTCTATAGTATAGTCTATAGTCTAGTCTACAGTCTAGTCTATAGTCTAGTCTATAGTGTGGTCTATAGTCAAGTCTATAGTCTAATCTGCAGTCTAGTCTGTTGTCTACTATATTCTAGTATATAGTCTAGTCTATGCTATAGCCTATTCTAAAAATAGTCTGCAGTCTAGTATATAGTTTGGTCTATAATATAGAATTTATTATAGTCAATAGTATAGTCTATAGTCCAGTCTATATTCTGGTCTTTAATCCAGTCTATAGTGTAGTCCATAGTCTATAATTTAGTCTATACTCTAGTCTATAGTAAAATCTAGTCTAATAGACCATAGACTACACTGTAGTCTAGTCCATAGTTTAGTCTATAGTCAAGTTTTCCATCAATAGTCTAGTTGATAGTTTAGTCAATAGTTTGCTTAATAGTCTTACCCATAGTTTAAGCTATCTTAGCTCTAACTTACGAATAAGGCTACGACGACATTGATAATATTTCTCGATTTAATTCATATTTGCTTTTGTGTTTACTTTTTTTTTATTTTAAATAATTTTTTAATTTATTTTATCTTGCAATGTTTATATCGCTCATTTACTATAAGACTGGCATAATTCAAAATTCGGATTTTTTAAACTAAAGGCTACAAAACGTGCGTTTAACAATAGTCTTTCATATACATAGATTTATCAGATTTAAAATATGTCTCTTATTTTCGATGTGAGATCAGCTTTTTGTTATAAACGTAAAAACTGATGAGAAACATATTAAACTTTACTATCAGAATTTGGTTTAACGATTGTAAACGATTTTTTTGGGATTATGCCGATCTAGTAGTAAATGAGCGATATGTATGTATTATACTTTGTATATGTGTATTTTTATTTAAATTTTATTTAGTTTATAATAATTTACATCAATATTGTTGTTTTTGTTTATTTATACATAAAATATTGTATAGTAAATATATATTTAATTAGTATTTAATACATCATTATATTAAATTGTGACTTCTTGAAACATCAGTGGGGGGGGATATACATATGTACGATTATTTATTGTTTATAGTTTGATTAATTTTCCTTTTTTTTGTATTTTCGTTTTCTAAACAAATGTCTCATAAATAAAATATAAAAATATTTTCATTAATATTTGGTAATAATTAGAATTTAAATAAAAGATTTTAGCACAAATTTCGTTTTTAAGCACCAATAAGATATTTGTGCAAATCGTTTGAAGTACAAATTATTAGAAATAAACAATAAGGACTAAACTTTTTTATATAAAAAAAAATATAAATTTATATAGTAAAAAAATTTGAGCTTTTCTTTGTGATAAAAATATTAGTTATAAAACTAAAACAAAAAAAAAAATAAAATAATTAAACTTAAATTAAAATATATTTGTTTAAACATAAAAACAATTTATTCAGCACCATTTGTTAACAAAGCGGTATCTTCGGGTATAGGTTTCCTTTTGTAAGCGGGATTTGTAGCCAGATAAACGACCAAACCACCAAACACGATATACAAAACACCACACAAATTAACCATAACACCAGAACTGGGTAAATTTGAATAGTTGGCACTAAAATGAGTTACAACAAATTAATATAAAAAAAGAACTCATTATTTAAATTAATTTTTTTCGATTCGTTTAACTTACACTGAAAATATCGCCTTTTCAGTTATGCCCATCAAAGCCGAAGCGATTGCCAATACAAAACCAAATAGACCGAAATATATGTGCAATGGCATGATAGCAGCTTTCAATGATTCCTTAGCACCTGGTACTAAATATGCCGCAAAGCCAACAACATATTGCAAACAGAAAAGTATGACGGCCGATAGACCCAACCATGAGTGCAACGAATACATGTTCGGTATGGGAGTTTTGGCTAAATTATGTGAATCGAATACGGTTTTGAGGGCAATAACCGTTAGTATGAATGCACCCATGTGTATGGCGGCATGTGTTATTTTCAATGCCTTCTTGCGCGTTGAACGGAAGCCACGATATACCAAAATGGCTTTAGAGGTGTTCAATGTAATCAAATTGAAAAATATGAAAATATATATTTTTTTTTTTAGAAAAAAAAATTGTATTTAGTAAGTAATTTTATTTAATAATGTGATTAGTTTTATACTTAAATGGAGTTAATAAGTTAAAAAATAATTGATGTTTTTTTTTTTATTTAATGGCAATTTATATATATTTATATATATATATGAATGTAGTTATAAGTGTCCAAGAAGAAAGGGAACTGACACAGATATAGTTCAATGCTGTATTTGAAGATGATTTCTATAGGCCATTTTCCAATAACATTTCAAATGTCATGTCTAACGTAAGTATACTCTAATCCATAGTTTATTTACTAGTTCAGTCCTTTGTCTTGTATATAGTTAGGTTAAGGGTCTACTCAGGATTCTACAGTCTATACAATGTTTAAAAGTTTATTAGTGTAGAATATAGACCTGTCTCTAGACTATGGTCTCGACTATAGACAATACTATAGTATAGATTATAGACAATGCTATACTCTGGACTATAGAAAATACTATAGTCTGGACAGTAGACAATGCTAAAGTCTAGACTATATATAGCCTATACAATTCTATAGCATGGACTATAGACAATACTAGACTATAGACTAAAAAATAGGTTGTCTATGGATAAAACTATAGTCTGAACTATACACAAGAGAGTAGTTTGGACTATAGACAAGATTATAGTCTGGACTTAATACAATACTATTGTCTAGAATACAGTCAAGTCTACAGTCTGAACTGTAGACAAGACTATAGATCGGACTGGAGACAAGATTATAGTCTGGACTATATACAAAACTATAAACTGGACTTTAGACAATATTATATTCTGTACTATAATCAAGACTATGGACAGGACTATATACTAGACAATCGTCTGGACTATAGATAAAACTATAGTTTCGATTAGAGATAATATTATAGATTAGACTATAGACTAAACTATAGTAGATACAATGCTATGGTCTGGATCATGGTCTTGACTATAGTCTGGACTTTTGTCAAGGCTATAATATGGACTATAGACTATAGTCTGGACAATAGTAAAGATAATAGTCTGAACTATAGACAGGACTAAAGTCTGGACTATACATATGTCTATAGACAAGACTATAGTCCGGACTGTAGGTAAAATATAGACTAAACATTTCTTTGAACTTTATACTAGACAATAATCTGGACTATAGACAGTTCAATAGTGTGGACTATATACAATACTATTGTCTGGACTTTAGACAAAACTATATTTCGGACTATTAACAAGACAATAGTGTGGACTATATACTAGACGATATTCTACATTACAGATAATACTATAGTCTGGACTATTGACAAGACAATAGTCTGGACTATAGACAAGACTATAGTCTGGACTATATACTAGACGATATTCTAGATTGTAGATAATACTATAGATTGGACTACAGATCATATAGTACTATATACAGTTCAATAGTGTGGACTATATAAAATGCTATAGCCTGGACTATGGATATAACTATAGGTTGGACTATTGGCAAGTCTAGTATGGACTATAGAATATAGTCTGGACAATAGAAAAGATAATAGTCTGAACTATAGACAATACTATAGTCTGGACAGTAGACAGGACTATTATCTGGACTTTAGATAAGACTATATTCTGGATTATTGGCAAGACAATGGTCTGGACTATATACTAGAAGATAATACTATAGTCTGGACTATTGAAAAGACAATAGTCTGAACTATATACTAGACGATATTCTAGATTATAGATAATACTATAGTCTGGACTATAGATCATGTAGTACTTTTACAATGCCTGGACAATAGATACGACTATAGTCTGGCATATAGACAAATTTATAGTCTGTACCATAGACTGCCTAGATAATAGACAAGACTTTCGTTTGGATACAAAAAACTACAATAAAGATAGGACTATAGTCAGTATTATAGTCCAGACTATAGATTATGCTGTAGACATGTCTTTTTTACTTTTCTCCTAGAATAATTTTAGACAACACTATAATCTGCACTATTGTTTACAAATCATACATTATATTCATGGCTATATTTATAAGCATTTCCGAAATAGAACTCCATAAAATGGAATAAAAACATCAATGCAAAACATCGACAAATTGCTATTTTAGTATTATTTTCTTCCCCCTTTCAAAATTTTTTAACAATTGAATTGAAATGTCTTAAGAATTTTTACTAAAAAATGCACGTAACAATAACTTTGAATACTTGAAAAAACACACATACATATTTGCAAAATACATAAACATTATTCAAAACCTAATTAATAAACAAAAGTGTGTGGATTTTTCAGAAAAAAAAGAGACGCTTAAAATCGATTTTGGCATACTAATCATATCAAAATAAACATTAAATAAAAATCAACCATTGCACAATTGCAAATTAACTGCACCTTCACGTCACCTACGAACGTAACAATATTCAACCGCCATCAATAACAAAAAAAAAATACACACCTTTTAGATACGTATCCATCCATTCATTCTACCTTCAATAACATCTCAGAAATAAAATATTTTTATTTACTATTTTGTATTAAGAATAACAACAGATTTAACTTTAACTACGACATAATACCTACAGACATTTGCGAATATGTCAGTTTAGATTTTATGCTTTTTTTTTTGAACGACAAGTGCAACGAAATGTTTATTTCAACACGCAATAATAAGAACGTCAAAAATAAATGTAAAAGAATTAAATTTTTTATTAGTTTAACGAAGGACTTTTGCCAACTATGAATAACTGTATTGACCTATACTGTAGTCGCACAAATATATATTGTAAGTCATTAATAAGCACTTAATTATGACATAAGTTGTGAAGTTCGGTTTAAGTAAGGTAATTGATGCAATATGTAGTAGTTAATTAATTACTTATAAAAACTTACCATTGCCATATAAGAATATTAAACCGATTGTCATGAGTAGTGGATGCCAATTGAATTCTAAACTTGGATTATTGGTACCACCCAAGCCGCCCATATGTACACCGATCCAACTGCCCATTAAAACGATCATTGTTAAACCGCATAATTGGGTTAAAACATATAATACTTTGAAATTAGCCAATGCTGGATCCGTGTCCATTTTATCTGGAAAGAAAAATTAATATTATTAATAGAAATCAATAGAAAATATTATTAATAGAAATATTACTAAAGAATAATTTATTTCAGTCGGGACTATCGTCTAGACTATAGACAAACTATACCAGACTAGACAATAATCTGGAGCAAAGACAAGACCGCTGAACTTTTGAATATGCTATGGTCTAGACTATAAACTAGACTATTTTGCAGATTATAAGCTAGGCTATTGTCCTGACTATAGACAAGACTATTTTATAGACTACAGTCTAGATTTTAGACCAGACTATAGACTAGACTACAATCTGGATATAAAATTAAATAGACTATAGCCTGGACTATAGTCTGGACTATAGAATAGACTATAGTCTGGACTATAGAATAGACTACAGTCTGGACTATAGAATAGACTATAATCTGGTCTATAGAATAGACTACAGTCTGGACTATAGAATAGACTACAGCCTGGACTATAGAATAGACTATAGTCTGGACTATAAAATATATACTATAGTCTGGACTATAGAATAGATTATAGTCTGGACTATAGAATAGACTATAGTCTGGAGTATAAATTAGACTATAGTCTGGAGAATAGAATAAACTATAGTCTGGAGTATAGACTAGACTATAGTCTGGAGTATAGTCTGGAGTATAGACTAGACTATAGTCTGGACTATAGAATAGATTATTGTCTGGACTATAGAATAGACTATAGTCTGGACTATAGAATAGACTATAGTCTGGACTATAGAATAGACTATAGTCTGGACTATAGAATAGACTATAGTCTGGACTATAGAATAGACTATAGTCTAGACTATAGAATAGACTATAGTCTGGACTATAGAATAGACTATAGTCTGGACTATAGAATAGACTATAGTCTGGACTATAGAATAGACTATAGTCTGGACTATAGAATAGACTATAGACTGGACTATAGAATAGACTATAGTCTGGACTATAGAATAGACTATAGTCTGGACTATAGAATAGACTATAGTCTGGACTATAGAATAGACTATAGTCTGGACTATAGAATAGACTATAGTCTGGACTATAGAATAGACTATAGTCTGGACTATAGAATAGACTATAGTCTGGACTATAGAATAGACTATAGTCTGGACTATAGAATAGACTATAGTCTGGACTATAGAATAGACTATAGTCTGGACTATAGAATAGACTATAGTCTGGACTATAGAATAGACTATAGTCTGGACTATAGAATAGACTATAGTCTGGACTATAGAATAGACTATAGTCTGGACTACAGAATAGGCTATAGTCTGGACTACAGAATAGGCTATAGAATGAACTATAGTCTGGGCTATAGAAAAGACTGTAATCTGGACTATAGAATAGACTATAGTCTGCACTATAATCTGGACTATATAATAGACTATAGTCTGGTCTATAGAATAGACTATAGAATAGACTATAGTCTGGACTATAGAATAGACTATAGTCTGGACTATAGAATAGACTATAGTCTGGACTATAGAATAGACTATATTCTGGACTATAGAGTAGAATATAGTCTGGACTATAGAGTAGAATATAGTCTGGAATATAGAATAGAATATAGTCTGGACTATAGTCTGGACTATAGTCTGGACTATAGAATAGACTATAGCCTGGACTATAGAGTAGAATATAGTCTGGACTATAGACTAGAATATAGTCCGGAATATAGAATAGAATATAGTCTGGAATAGACTATAGTCTGGAATATAGAATAGACTATAGTCTGGACTATATAATAGACTATTGTCTGGACTATAGAATAGAATATAGTCTGGACTATAAAATAGACTATAGTCTGGACTATAGAATAGACTATAGTCTGGACTATAGAATAGACTATAGTCTGAACTATAGACACGACTATAGACTAGATTATAGATTACAGAATATACCATAGTCTAGACTATAGTCCGGACTATAGAATAGACTATAGTCTGGACTATAGAATAGACTATAGTCTGAACTATAGACACGACTATAGACTAGATTATAGATTACAGAATATACCATAGTCTAGACTATAGTCTGGACTATAGAATAGACTATAGTCTGGACTATAGAATAGACTATAGTCTGGACTATAGAATAGACTATAGTCTGGACTATAGAATAGACTATAGTCTGGAGTATAGAATAGACTATAGTCTGAACTATAGACACGACTATAGACTAGATTATTTTCTATATTATGATCAACAGGTTTATTATAGTCTCATCTATAGATTGGCAAAAAAAAATTTTTCAAAATATTATTCAAAGTCGGGAAAGTAATTAAAAAAACACTTTGTTTTTAAGCACACAATTTAATAATTTTCATAATATTTAAATATATTTTTAATTAAACTAATTTTATGTATTAATCATCAACATTCTTGTTTATATTATTTTCTGTTTGAAAAAAAAACTCAAATAAAATAAAAACAGTACTACGCAAATTAATTATTTATTCAGAAAGCATATGCGTTTTTTTCGAACAAGTGGCGGGTACACATTTGACTACAAATCATAATAAAAAAAAATGTTGTAGTATTTTGTAAATAAATAAAATTCTTTATGAATTTTAATAACTTTTAATAAAATCAATAAAATTTCAATAATATTTTCATATTTACTAAATAGAACTTTAGCAAAGCCCTACCCCTAACAATTATAAGTGATGAACGAATATTTGAAAAGAGTTAAGTTGAAGTAGTTATCTGAAATGAATGTACGCAGTTTGTTATATTTATGGTTTTTTAATTTAAATATGAAAACAAATCATGTTAAATATTTTTTACTTTCTTTAATATTTTTAGAAATTTGTCGAAAAGATGCACGATCCTAGATTATTTAAAAAAAAAAACCTAATTAACTGATATAAACAAGTTACAAGAGAAGAGCAAATTAAATTTTAATTATAACAAAGTTAAGAAGAAGAAACACTTTTTGTAATGTTTGCCATACATACACACACTCAACAAACTAATTGTGCAAATATTTGTAGCATAAATTTTATTAACTTTTAATTTTTTTTTACCTCAGTTTCAATTATAAACCAAAAAATAACACAAACTCGAATTCTATCTAGGATTTTGAAAAATAGATAAAAACCCAATATTTGTTTTTAAAAGCATCCGTTCAAACTTAGAAGACAAAGAACATTTTATAGAAATTTTTTAACTTTATAATAATGCTCTTTATAAAAGTTATTTTTAATTTAAAGGTGTTTTTTAAATAACATTTGTGAAAATTAAATAACTGTTAAATTTTTGACAAGGCTATATAGAATACACTATAGCCTGTACTATATACTTCGGTTTATAACGTAGACTAGACTGTAGTCTAGAATATAGTCTTTAGACAAAATTATGACTGGACTATAGATCAAAATATATTCTGGACTATAGACTAGACTATAGGTCTGGATTATAGACTAAACTATAGTCTGAACTATAGACCAGACTACATTTAAACAAGATTGTTTGCCTGGACTATAGACTAGAATATAGACCGACTATAGACTAAAATACAAACTGTAATCCGGACCAAACTATTTATGTACCAGACTATAGTCTGGACTATAGACTAAACTCTAGTCTGGACTATAGACTAAACTATAGTCTGGACTATAGACTAAACCATAGTCTGGACTATAGAATAAACTATAGTCTGGATTACAGACTAAACTATAGTCTGGGACTTTTGACTCAATTGTCATTGTTTGACTATAGCTTGGACTATAGTCTGGACTATAGACTGACTACAGTCTTTACTATAACTAGACTATAGTCTGGACTATAAACTAGACTATGGTCTGGACCATAGACTAGACTTAGTCTGGACTATAGACTAGACTATAAGCTGGACTATTGACTAGACTATAATCTGGACTACAGACTATACTATAGTCTTTACTATAGACTAGACTATAGTCTTTACTATAGACTAGACTATAGTCTTTACTATAGACTAGACTATAGTCTTTACTATAGACTGACTACAGACTAGACTAGAGTCTATAGTAAAGACTATAGACTAGACTATAGTCTTTACTATAGACTAGACTACAGTCTTTCTTTGCTATAGACTAGACTATAGTCTTTACTATAGACTAGACTATAGACTATACTATAGTCTGGACTATAGACTATACTATAGTCTGGACTATAGACTATACTAGTCTGGACTATAACTATATATAGTCTGGACATAGACTATACTATAGTCTGACTATAAACTATACTATAGTCAGACTATAGTCTAGTCTATAGTTAGACTATAGTCTAGTCTATAGTCCAGACTATAGTATAGTCTATAGTCCAGACTATAGTATAGTCTATAGTCCAGACTATAGTATAGTCTATAGTCCAGACTATAGTATAGTCTATAGTCCAGACTATAGTCTAGTCTATAGTCCAGACTATAGTATAGTTTATAGTCCAGACTATAGTATAGTCTATAGTCCAGACTATAGTATAGTCTATAGTCCAGACTATAGTATAGTCTATAGTCCAGACTATAGTATAGTCTATAGTCCAGACTATAGTATAGTCTATAGTCTAGTCTATAGTAAAGACTATAGTCTAGTCTATAGCAAAGAAAGACTGTAGTCTAGTCTATAGTAAAGACTATAGTCTAGTCTATAGTCTTTACTATAGACTCTAGTCTAGTCTGTAGTCTAGTCTATAGTAAAGACTATAGTCTAGTCTATAGTAAAGACTATAGTCTAGTCTATAGTAAAGACTATAGTCTAGTCTATAGTAAAGACTATAGTATAGTCTGTAGTCCAGATTATAGTCTAGTCACTAGTCCAGCTTATAGTCTAGTCTATAGTCCAGACTAAAGTCTAGTCTATGGTCCAGACCATAGTCTAGTTTATAGTCCAGACTATAGTCTAGTTTATAGTAAAGACTGTAGTTCATGTCTATAGTCCAGACTATAGTCCAAGCTATAGTCAAACAATGACAATTGAGTCAAAAGTCCAGACTATAGTTAGTCTGTAATCCAGACTATAGTTTTA